TAGAGTGGAAAGCTTGACAGGCGTAGCAGCGGAACCGAGTGAGGTGGGTTTAGCGATGGTCATTTGCAGCCACAATGTCAACTGAAGAAGTGTTTAGAGCGGGCATAAAATCAAAAAGCCTTGCCCTCTACATGCTGTATTGTAGGTCCCATGTCATTGCTGAATAGCTGATGTAGTAGAAACATAATTTCCTCTTGTCATGTGCTCTGGGCAGTTCCTGATGACCAGGTAAAATCAGAATGGGGAGTTTTTACTTGTCCAGCAAGTGATGTGCTTTGAAGTTTACGGGCATTAGGACTCTCTACATTCAGCGTCTCTCTTGTAGATGACTAAGGTAAATGAGAAACACTCCGTCATCAGCCAGCAGTCGAGTGTTTCAGTAAAAGGTTGGACAGTGTTGGGCAGCTCTTAGCCGTGGAAATATTTCACTGCTGAGTGTAAATCAGGATCGTACTGTAAAGGCAAACATCCAACACACCGTGTTAAAATAGAAATATCACAGTTTGTAGACGTTATTGTCTGATTTCCTCTCTCGGATTCTTGCTTGTTTGTAATTAGCAGAATCTCAGTACAGTGTGAACATTTGCCTGTTCTAGTGGTGGTGAGATGAGCATATTTAAGGCGGAATGGGAACTCTTAAATCCTTGCTGCTCCCTCCTAATCTTTTGCCTTTTGTCACAGACCTGCAGCTCTGTCACTGATGCACACACACAAACACAAACACACACACACACACACACGCACACACATAATGCTGTCTTAACACACATATACTTCCTCTCTCGTGCTTACAAACTCACACGTGAGCACAAACATATAATATCCTCGGTCACACACGATTTACATACAAACTCCTAAAGCATGACTTTGGGACACACACATGCACAAATCCAAACACGGTATCTTCTTCATACAGACATTTATCACACATACTGCACTCTGAACAAGACTTTATACTGTAGGTGTGCAGACACACACATGCAATATATTCAAACATGCACCTTCCCTGCTTACGCACACTGACTGATTTGGACAAGCACACATAATCTCACGCAGACGCTCAATCACCGATGACATCTTCTTCTCACGTACACACTGCAACACAGATTTTACATATGCACACATACAGTGAGAAGCTGTGGTGCACAAATACACACCCACACACACACGCATTCAGAATGAGCTGTTCTGCGGTGTTCAATCAGACTTAGTATGGCTCTAATCCTAATCTCCAGAAAGGGAAAGTCTCTCCTCGGGGCTGTGGGAGCTGGAGGCAAGAGCAGCGTTTCTCTGTTACACACTCCAACACAAAGAGACAGCCTGGTACTGCTGATGGGCTGTTTGTGAAAGACTCATTTCAACTGAATTATGCTATTATTCATATCTTATGTTTGATATCACTCAGAGCTGTGTAGAGCGTAGTGCTCGTGTCCCTGTGGATTCATGGAGAAAACAAACTTTTCATGAATGAGAGCACAGACAAGCATCTTCACAGCTCAAGATGTTGATACAGACAATATCAGTGAAGACACATAGCTGTTTTTTCAGGGGTTTTTTTTTATTCCCAAAGCCTGAGAGTATATGATTGTGCTACAATGTTAAAGTTACACTAACGTAATGTTTTATGTCTTTCAGAGTTTTGGGGGGCCTTTATTCAAATGAAGTATATTCTGATTTGGTTATTTCCTCACGACGCATTTATTATAACATCAGTGGTTATGACTATTGAATACACCTACTGATTCTCAAATTAAAATCGGTATTCAAAAATGGCTGAGTCTAAAATAATTAAAGGGGCAGTCTTCCAGTTTTACACATGAAGTTCAGTTGACTACTCATGGTACGAGCTACTAAAATCTATAATATCTTCTGTAGCATCCAGAGTTTGAAATTATGATGTCATGATGGTTATATTGGTTTAAGATTGAGACTTTTCAATGTAAAGCCTGCATTAGAAACTGGAGGGGTGTTTTGAAAGACATAAACTATTTAGAGGGCAGGGAGGGTCTAATGAAGATGCTAGTGAAATGCATTATGGGAGTTGTAGGATCCATTGCTTTTGGAGATTGCCCCATACAAGGAAGTAAAAGTCAGGATTGTTTTTTTAATCTGTCTCTTGTGTGTACCTGGTTTGTACTCACTAATTGCAGGTCATTTCTGCATTGCTGTTTTATCAGTGCTAAGTTACTGTAAATGAAACTTATTTCCTGCAGATGTTTCACATTAAAAGCGTACCACGTAAGGGTGTGTTTTTTGAGCTACAGTAGGGTTTTTAATGAAGCATCTGAGTTACATTGACAGTAAATTAATACCAATGAAAAAAAACAGCAAAATGGAATCGAATGAATGATTCATCGAATGAATTAGTGAGTGAGAAGAACAGTATTACAGTAAAAAAATTTTGATCTCTTGATTATTATGGTGATTTGTTTAGTTTCCATCGACAAATAAAGGCCTGGTTCTATCGTTAGTTGAGGTAACTTGATAATGATCTATCATTGAAGCCAAAGTAAAATGCAACCACATTACAAAATGAGCATTGTTATACCTAATATGACTATATATTACACATGGACCTGTACTTGTATAGCGCCTTTTCTAGTCTTCCGACCACTCAAAATGCTTTTACCCTACGTGCCACATTCACGTCAAGGGATAGGGAACAGAAACTAACTCATTCATACACATTCACACACCAATGCATTGGGAGCAATTCGGGGTTCAGTATCTTGCTCAAAGATACTTCGACATGTGGTGGGAGGAGCCGGGGATCGAACCAGCAACCTTCCGATTAGTGGACAACCCGCTCTGCCTCTGAGCCACAGCTGCCCAGCCTTACAGCTGCTATAGGCATGAGGTTAGCCATCCACCAATGAATGCTTGGAGCTAATGGGATTTTTACACAATAATACTACACAATACACAAGGAGGAATTGTGACCAAAAACAGAGTCCCATAGTACAGTCTTGCAGTAGACAGCAGCTGGTTATCACTGTGAACACCTCAGAGTGAAAAAGAATAACTCCTCACACACACTAATCCATCCAACCTCCCCTCCATCCATCTCTATGGCTGTTTAACTGCAAATGAGTCTGAGAGGTCCTGGCGTGAGAATTGGCTGATACTCGGCAAGGCACAGTTGAGAAAACTCCAAAGTGAATGTCAGTATGTCAATTATTTGACAGTAATTTGGCAGTAGTTAAATCCCTCTAATTTACCGCAGCCACAGACGTTTTCTGCCACATTGCTGCTCTGATTTATACAGTAATGAGATGCTGCTCTGTCGCCACTATTCATTCTTATTCTGTGCACTTGCTTGTTGGAATTGTGTGTTTGTCCTGTTGTGTTTAAACTACTTGTGTGTTAGCAATTACTAATAGCTTGGGGCGAGGAACAAGTTGGAAACAGAATGGTGTCATCTCCCACTGTCATTGAATTCACAGGGATCAAACTATAAATGTCTGTCACCAGAGAGGGCACATGAGGAGAAATTCCGTAATCATTTTTTTGGATGATTTTGTGCCATCAACTTGTCAGTTTAGGTATACACATTTTCATATTACGACAAAATGAACAGATACCAGGGCTGAAAAATTAATGTCACAGATATAGACAACAGGAACAAATCAAAATTACACTCCCTTCCTCCTTAAACTTGTTTGCCAATATACATTTGTTTTGTGGTTCATTTGGTCACTCAAACTGTCTAAGTAGAGCTATTTAGCTATTAACATTTTAAATGGATAGGATTTTATAAATGACCATCACAAAGAAGAGCCATAATTTACTTGAATTTGAATTGGTTGAAGTTACATTATTTTAATAGAGGCATATCAAGTGATTTTCAGCATGCTAGCCACCAGTGTACATCTATTAGAAAAAACTAATGCAATTTCTCAGATATCCCAGATAGATATAGAACTACTGAGGTAAAGGCTATGTGCCATTTAATTGTAATGAAACACTGTAAAATATCAGTATCATCTTCAGCAGTCCAAATATGAAAGACAGTTAATGGAAATGTAATTCCACCTATGTAACTATACTGTAACCTCTATTATATGCCTATATAAGAAACACCGGTGTGCTTAGGCAAACTTATAAAAATGTTACCTGGAACAGGAATTGCAGGGCCTGTTCTCTGAATCCACAAAAAAGAGATGGTGCTGGAAGTTTGGAGACTTACTGACTACTTTTGTGTGTGCCCCCCATTGGTTGTCTCTAAACGGCTATGGAGCTCTGTCAGTGTTGGTTTTCTGGAGAGGTTGATAAACTTACAAAATGCTCAGCACTACTGTAACCTGTTACGTTGTTTCATTTCCAGAAACAAGCTGTGATTGCAGGAGAAATGATTTGTTCACTTGGCACACTGAACCAAGTAATATGCTGTATGCCTCTATTTCCACACACATGTCGTTTGGGACAAACACACAGGCTCGCACGGACACAAAGTACACAACAGCACCCTAATTCTGTCACCCTGCATCTCTGTGTCCGTCACTCCTGCTGCTCCTGCTGCGCTTTATGCCCCTTCCTCTCTCTCTCTCCTCCCATTCTTTACCTCATTTGCCCAATTTTCGTTCTTGTTCTCACACACCTACCACCTTTGCTCCCTCTCTTCCCGCCTCGCCATTTTCTCTTCCTTGGGTCATTGTCCTCATTCAACCAGAACATTGTTGTTTTATAACAGTCCAAACAAAGAGAGAGAGAGAGATGGTTAAGAATTTCTTTAAACTGATAGGAAGGAGGCGGAGTTTCTGGGTCAGGTTCTTGTCAGCACACAAACCACTATTTACAGCCTGAGGAAAAAGCTTGTCACTCTTCATCTCATATTATGTTAGGCTGTGTGTCTCTGTGTGTGTGCGTGCCTTATGTGTTTGTGCATTTGTACTTTGGGGTATATGTGTTTAAAGCATCTGCATGTTTGTATATAATGTATGCCACTGCAGTGTCACCCTGTGGTCGTCTGTGTTAAAAATACGCCTCTGTGTGGTTTCAGGGCCATTCACGCTTTCTGAGACACGGCTGCGCTACAGTGTTTCTTTTATCTGTCCTCAGATGAAAACCTTTTATGTCCAAGGATGAAGAAGAACAGATCCATCCCTTTCTTGGAGAACGTTATATTAAACTTACAATGTTTTTAATGTATCTGATGAATTAGTAAAATTG